CGCGCCTCGACCGGCAGACTCATAGGCGTCGGCAACGCATTGGAACGTGTTTCGTTGAGCGATCGCATATTGTGTGTTTTTATAAGAATTGTTGTGTGCTTGTTATTGTTGTGGTTTCTGTGGTTACTGTTTTGGTTATACTCAACCATGGAGAGTACAAATGGCACGAGTGGAAGTACTGAAAGCCAGGGAACAAGTAGACGGCTTTGTAAAGCGCTAAAGAGGGACGCGAAAGAAATCGTGCTCAACGTGTTCAATTATCTGAAAAGAACTATGTCGCAGGGAACAGCACTCGCGCGTTGTGAAAGTATGACAGGCGTTCCAGAGTGGACCATTCGCAGGGTGGTGCATGAAAAGAAGAAAACTGGAGCTACTACTGATCCAAAGTTTAATTTGAAGGGACGAAAGGCCGTTAAATTGGATGACGATAGCAAAATGGCGTTAAGGCGAAGCGTACATTCATTCTTCTTTAGGAATGAAATACCAACCCTCAAGGAAAATGAAATTATACCCCAAATGAGCGTCGAGGTAATGAGGAAATCCCTGCACGAAATTAATTTTCGTTACGAAACGCGTAATCGGAAGTCAGTATTGATAGAGAGACCTGAAATAGTCACCTGGCGTCGAAAATACCTACGCGAAATGATTGAATATAGGCGACAAAGCAGAAAAATCTATTATTTGGACGAGACATGGGTAAATGCAGGTGACACAGTTAAAAAAAACCTGGATAGACAAAAACGTAGTGAGTAACCGACAAGCAAGCATTGAAGGTTTGTCAACAGGTCTTCGTGGACTGTCAGGGAAAGGTCAAAGATTGATCGTAACTCATATTGGTAGCGATAGTGGCTTTTTAGAAGAGTGTGACTTGATTTTCGTCTCTAAGAAAGGAGGTGATTACCATGACGAAATGAATGCCAGCTGCTTCGAGAGCTGGTTTCAAGGGGTGCTTCAGCGAGTTGAGCCCTACTCTGTGATCGTCATGAATAATGCTTCCTACCATAGTCGTCGAGCCGAACGTGTACCGACTATGGGATCTCGAAAAAGTGACATGCAGCAATGGTTGCGCGAAAAAGGAATCCCGTTTGACGATTCATGTGTGAAAGCGGAATTGTATGAAAAAATTAAACAGCACAAACCTGCGAACATTAGTTCCGTGACTGATGAGATGGCCCGTCAATGTGACGTCACTGTGCTGCGGTTACCGCCCTACCACTGTGAACTGAACCCAATAGAGCTCATCTGGGCTCAAGTGAACGATTATATTGCGCGCCATAACACAACCTTCAAATTACCAGACGTTAAGGTTTTACTTGAGACTTCCATACAGCTAGTAACGCCCGAAGCTTGGCAGAATGCTATCCGTCATGTTGTGAAGGAAGAAACAAAAATGTGGCAGCTTGACCACCACATCGACACCATCGTAGAGCCAGTTATAGTCAATTTCAACGAGGAAAGCGATAGCGACAGTTTATTACTGACAGATGTAAGTGGAAGCGTGCCATAATGGTACTGATGTACGGCAAGTAAATGAACGAATGTTTGGAAACGAGCGATATCTATGAAAGGTAAAGTCTTTGTCATCAAGTAGATGTTTAATGGCTATCTGCAAGAGGTTTAAAGGAAGAAACATACGGTAGGTGATGTTAAATCAGTAAAATCGCATATCAATTACAGAAAATAATATAAACATGAATAAATAGTCAACAATAGTAAAAAACATGAACTTCATTCAAAAATCATACATTCTTTAAGTGTTGACTGAATTATATGTAATTTCTTAATATTCAATAAGCTGGTGATGTTTCAATGACTGGCTGTCATCTCATACTTTGACAATATTTTGTTTTCACTATTTTACAGCTATTGGTTGCTAAAATTTGTCTAACGGATTTTAAAGCCCATTCGCTATATTTAACGGACTATTCTTTTCTGGTACCCTATTGGTCGACAATAAGAGCTTGTTGATTTGACAGTCTTGGTGATATCCACCCTTAATAAACTGTCGAACCTTCCTGACCTCCTAATGAGGGTCCACCTACAAATTCCGTGGCCTCGAATATCTCAACCACTATACCGCAATATTCTGGGTACTAGCACAGACAGTGGAACGCTGTTTCATCCTTCTCCCAGCACTTGGGGCATGTTGCTTCTCTGTCCACCTTTAAAAGGAATAAGTGTCTGTTCAGCCTGCAGCGGTCGGTGAGAACCTCCACCAAAAGGTTGAACGACTTTCTTCCTCTGTCCAGCAGTCAGCGCGTCCGACGTTTGTCGGGGCCCGCTACGAACTTCTTCGTCTGTCGTCTATCTCCCTATACACCGATTCATTCAGGAGCCGTGTTGATTTGCCTCCTATTTATGTTCAGCATAGGCTCGGAACCGATGCAAGTGCTTCTGGGTCAGGGCCACTTCCTTAAATTTGTCTAAACTCTGAAAGGCAGTGTTGCATTCCTGAACTAAGGATGACCTTGTCCTCGGGGATACTACCGTCTTCAGAGCTGCTGAATTTCCTATGGGTATGCCACAGTTAAGATGGAAAGTAACTCTGCCTGGAAGATTGTTGTGCGGGTTCCAAGCACAAAGCTTTCCTGCATACCTTTGCCTTCCAAGTATACAGGGTGTAAATGTTATGATAGTCATTATTTAAATGGGTGATAGAGGGGTTTAAAAGAATAAAACAGTTTCATATAACACGGGGGCCAAAACGGTATTTTTTTAGAGAAAAGCGGCTTTAAAGTAAAATAAAATCTGACAACGCCGCAATGCAAATTACGACGGAACGCAGTGTAAATAAATATTGAGTTTGTTATTTTTGGCTCTTAGGTGTTATTTCATTATTTGATAATGTACGTATTAAAAAAATCCACTTATAAATGTGCAAGAACCACTGACACAATGTTAGTCTGCGAGGATAGTCTTCTGGTAAAAAGGCCTGCACTCGTTGTACATGGTAGGGATAAAGCAAATTTTCCCGTAGGATTCTATGGACTATGGTATGCGATAGTGCTACGCGACGGCCTAATTCCCGAGTGCTGATATGTGCATTGATTTCCACGATATTTAAAATTCGTTCCTCCTGCTCTACAGTAACCTGTCTTTCAAGAGTGCGAATATTAGTGTGCTGAAAACTTCCGGTATCTCGAACTCTTTGGTACACTTGCACAAATGTCCTTCTGTCTAGGTGTACCCGTTGGCGAAATCTGTCGCGATAAATTTGAGCTGCAAGATTTGAATTCTGTAGATCAAGACGACGACGTACACGGACAAAAACAAAACAACATACTAACCACTGTTACCGTTTGCGAGCGATTGCTGGTTCGATAAGTGTGATGATGACCGACGCGCTGTTGTCATGCGTAGGTACTGACTACAAATTTTGGCTTAACTTAGACAAATCTAATGCCATTTATTTGTTAATTACCCAATTTAAAAACGTTGTAGATTAGATTATAAGAATTAGTAAGATTGTGGTGATTGTGGTCAATATAAAGCACGAGTAAAAACTTGTCGTAAACAAGGTCAAGTCCGTCATCTACATACGCAATTCCAGGATACTATTCCATCTGATCGTATACTAAGTTTTGCATATAGAAACATAGTAGGCCGCGCGGATCGAACGCCAGTACTGAATCTTAACCTCACTCTTTAGTAAAGTTAAATTCAAAGTTTCACAACAATACGTGCAGTGTTCTCACTACAGTGAATTGTTAAGTGTCACCAAGACATTATAAAAATGGAACTTAACCTAGAACATTTTCGCGTCATAATTTATTACAACTTTCAGAGACAATTATCGCAACAAGAATGCCTTGCTGAGTTGCTGTCTGTTTTCGGCAACGAAGCGCCTCATCAGTCGATAATTTCCCGTTGGTGTGGAGAATTCAAACGTGGACGGGTGAGTCTTAGCGACGATTCCAAGGTGGGCGCACCAAAAACGGCAGTCACCCAGGAAAACGTCGATGCTGTGCGCAAACTCATGATTGAAGATAGACATGTGACATATCGCGACATTGAGGCGTCCTTGAAAATCTCACAGACCTCAATTCAAAAAATTTTACATGAAGAATTAGGAGTAAGAAAATTAGTTTCTCGTTGGATACCCCACCTGTTGACCGAAGAACAGAAAGTAGCCAGGGTTAATTGGTGTCAAAAAACGCTTGACCGTTTCAATTCCGGAAACTCACAAAATGTGTACAGCAGTGTTAGTGGTGATGAATCGTGGATTTACTATTATGAACCAGAAAATAAACGACAGTCGGCTGTTTGAGTGTTCCAAAGTGAAGAAAAGCCAACAAAAGTCATCCGTTCTCGAAGTGTTTCGAAAAAGATGGTCGCGACATTTGTGTCAAAAGCGGGTCATATAGCAACAATTCCTCTTAATGAGCAAAAAACTGTTACTGCGGATTGGTATACCACCATTTGTTTGCCGAAAGTCATCACCGAGCTTCGAAAAATCAACCCCGAAAGAATAATCATCCTCCACTAAGACAGTGCAAGCTCGCACACAGCCCAAAAAACACGGCAGTATTTAACGGAAGAAAACGTGGAATTATTGGACCATCCTCCATATAGTCCTAACGATTTCTTTACTTTCCCGAAAATTAACACGTTCACGACGACGTGGTACACCCGTGGTACATCGCATATCTTACCAAAAATCGTCTGTGGTCACCGGTGGTACACTGCCAGTTGATTATTTCTTGCGCTTCCAATCCTTACCGTTTATAGTAGGGAATTGTATATTCAGCATACGGCTATAAATATAGTAAGCATACATTCGTGTGCCACCGGTGTCGCATCTGGCTATAATTGTGAATTTTATAGGAAATCTAATTAGAGGTATAAAATTCCATGAGTTTCATATTATTTTATTTGTAAAACACATTGTAACAACCAGATTGATTAACTGAACTAGGTAAGAAGTTAGAATATTTAGTGAAAAATAACTCAAAAATATTTTTCTAACATTGGAAATAAGTACTTATACATTTAGGTAGGTGTTACTTATGAATTTCATTAAAACATTGAAGGCATAGTGTCGGTTGCTCTGGGCAATCTTTACAAAATGTAGAAACACGCTTGGCTTTATTTCTAGCCTCTTTGACACCGCTTGTGCTCTGGAGTTTTCGGTAACATGAGGTACATCTCTTCCGAATCATTCTTACCGTGCCATCATATTTTTGCATCTTATGATGAGCGATTCTGCTACTAGCTCGAGGTCTCTTTGTCACTCTTTGTTCGGGCACGTTAGCGGCAATATCTTCAGGTTTTATATTTTCTTCAATGTCTTCTTCCTCCAACAAGCCCCTTGCAACTTTTTCACGAAACTGCAGCATAGAAAGTTTTTTCGCATTTCTGCCATAGTAAATCACCCACGAGTTCACCATGCATGTGCCAAGCAGTATTTCAAAGAATACTTTTTTATACCACTTGATACTTTTTCTGATACAGGTATAATAGCTGGACATTTGTTCTGAAATGTCGACGCCTTTCTTAGCATTATTGTAATCAATGACTGCTTGAGGCTTGAAGGTGTCTTCTCCTTTTCTAGTTTTCTTTCCCGTTGCCTTGAGTTCTGCCTGGTGGCTTGGGCACGTGCTGATCATCAAGACAGGACGTTTGTCTAACCATTTCATCACTCTAATTCCATTCTGATTCTGTTGTCCAAATACCTCTCCCTTCCGAAGCTTTTTTTTTGCAAACTGTGGGTGGGTTTCCCTTTCTATTTTGTCTGAGTGTGCCACAAACGTAAGTCTTACAGTTCAAAAGAGCCTTACATAACTGGACACTTGTATAGAAGATATCAATATAGAGCGTGCGTCCTTCGTTTAACAAATCCTGTAGTAAATCCATACAAACGTTATAAGTATGCCCACGATCATTATTCGGAGCATTTCCGACATTTTTTCCTGCATATATACGTACGTCGAACGTATAACCTTCGGGAGTACAAATTTTGTACAATTTTACACCATATTTATGTGCCTTTGCGGGAAGATACTGCCGGAATATGAGGCGGCCCCTCCATGGCACCATACTCTCGTCTATTACAATATTCTCAGCGGGTGTAAGTGTTTTTTTTGAAAGTGTCACAAATGAGGGTTACAACATGTTTCAATTTGAAAAGACGGTCAGTATCTGCAAGGGGGTCTTCATTATTGGACAGATGAAAAAATTTCAACAGCCAGTCAAATCTGTCACGCTTCATTATTTTTTGAATAAGTATGTTACCATACATGTCATTACTCGACCAATACAACCGGGTTTGTGGCAAATGGTGTATGCCCAGGACAACCAGGATAGCAAAGAACTTTCTCATTTCACTGCGATTTGTGTCCTTCCATTTACGAAACATCGAACGCGGACGAAGATTATGCGATTGGATGTACTGAGCCGCATAACGATTGGTCTCTAAAACGATAATATCAAGCACTTCGTCGCAAAAAAATGTCTGTAAATGTTATACGGATCTGAAAGGTCTATTGTGTCCACCTTTATGCCACCATTTCCTGTATATTGGAAGTTGAGGGGTATATCTCTGCATGGTTCCCATTGATCTGCAGCGGCATCAACATTTCCATAGGGCTGGACTTCTTCGATAACATCAGCATTTTGGTCGATTGTAAACTCATCATCCCCGCTGGACTCTCTCAAGTAGATTGTTCATCCTCTGATAGACTATCTTGCTCGTCTTCGGAAGGGACGTAGGATTCTCCTGAATCCTGGAAAGGCTCTGATTCTGACGATGATGAATAATATGCATGACGTGATGCGACAGAAGACAAAGGATCATTTTGTGGAATGTGCGTCAATGTAGATGAAGTTGATGGCTGAGGATGTTGGAGAATCCCATCCTGGTTAACTGCAGATGAGACTGATTGCTGAAAGCCGGCTGCAGATTGAGATGATGGCCAGGGGTGTAGCGAGATCTCACAATGCTCCATTGTAGATGAGGTTGGTGGTTGCGACATTTCATCATAGATCTCCCTTCGTGCATCATGTACTTCTGAGGACTCCCCATTATCTGTAAGGGCCAGTGCAACTAATTTCTTTCCTCTAAAAGCTATCATAGAGTGTTAAGTCTGAAACAAAATAAAAATATGGTTATGCGAACCCATTTCCCTCAGTGACCACCAGTGGTACACTAGGGCTATAACGAAAAAAAGAATCATCAATGCCGTCGTGTACCACCGGTGGTACATATCTAAAAAGGGATTCAAAGGTCAAAATAATACTCACTTACATATTTTCTAGCAATTGTATTACATAAAATGTACATTTGCACTAAAAAAAACAAAAGAACAACTATCGGCTATAGTCGTATTTCACTCCATGCGTTGTCGTCGTGAACGTGTTAAAAACAGACTGCGTGGTCGAAGGTTCCAGTCACCAGAAGAAGCAGTTGACGCAATCAAAAATGCCGTTTTGGATCTGCCAGCAGACGAGTGGAATAAGTGCTTCGAAAACTGGTTCGAGCGCATGCAGATGTGTATTAATCTTCGTGGAGAATACTTCGAAAAACAATAAAGTCATTTAAAACTACCTAAAGTGTTGTTTTATTTCCATATGCAAAACTTAAAAGACATCCCTCGTATATCGCTCCTTACCGAGCTGCGTACCTTCTGCAAATAATCGCACCTTCGTTCCCAATATATTCAAAACATTATTAAATTAGAAGAGAAACAAAACAAAAGCAGCTTTTCTTTAAAAATATTCGAAACCTTGTTTCGGGGTAAATATACAGGCGTCATTTGGGTTCAGAATTTAATAAAAAAAACTTTTTGAATAATTCCGTCATCGGGATTCACGAGGAGCTCCACATAAATACAAGCTGTTGCGTCGACTCTCTCCTGCACGTACTCATAAAAAACATTCATTCACATAGAAAACTTTATGATGTCGATGGTGACGCGGCTTTCATGTAACGGCGTTTGAATACCAAATGGGTTAGGTTTCGAATACGAATAACCCAATACCAAATAGTGAGATATAGATTGATTGTTGTATGTGAATACAATGATAATCAACTAATACTGCATTGATGCGTGCAACAAACCGAATTGGGAAGATTCCATTTTCCGTAATATGGTACGGAAACAAGATTAAGAAATGCAGAAAAAGAGTTACAAAATAAAATATAAAGCTAACGTAAAATAAACGTGCTCTGCTTTCGGCCATCCGACCAAAGATAGCCAACCTTAGGCTGTTTCGTGCCTTTTGGCTACTGTTCAACATGGTCTAGGTTTGGGTCTCTGGGACAAAGAATGAAATCATGGCAACTATTATAATAATATTAATTAAAATATTAAACTTCTCAGAAAAAGGAAACAATCAATCACCTGTGGATATGCGTAAAGTTAAATTAAAGCCATCCGATTGCTTTCAACTCATCTCTAACTTTTTTTTTTAAATTACTTACGCTATATTCTTTATACTCACTTGACAAGCAGTTATATAGTTACAGGCGTACAGTACGAGAAACTACGTGTGAACAATGCTGTCGAATGCCGCGGGATAAGTAAGATGCGTTTATTCCTAGAGGATCTTTGATCGTACGGATAGAGGAGGTTTAGCTTTAAATAAAGATAATATGGCGCTTTAAGGAGAAGAGTCTTATGTACCAGAGGCAATGCAGTTTCCTCAATTTATTCATCTTAAACCATCCCGATTGGTCAAAAGCGCTACTAATATGATCAAATTTATGTCTTCATTATTCACCATAATATTAATGCGATATTGATTTATTTCACGATTCCTTTTTGGGCCCCAATAAAATGCAGCAAGATTTGCCAACATTCAGTTTTAGATTGTGAGCACTAGATATGTCAAAAATAGACTGCAGATCTTGATCGATTTGATGTTGGCCAATCATATATTCATCAGGATCGGACCTGTTATAACTTGGGTATCATCGGCGTAATGATGAACGACTGAGTAGCTGGCGATTTCATGAAAATCACATATATAAAGAGTAATTAAAAGAGGACTCAGAATAGATCCTTGAGGGCCACCAAAATTTCTGAATAAAGAAGTTGATATATTGTTTTCATATATGACAGACTGCGAGCGATCAGTTAAGTAGCTTTTAATCAGCGCGCAAGCCGATGAGGACAGGCCAAAGTATCTAAGCTTTTTATAGAGAATATTTGGGTCAACCGTATCGAAGGCCTTGCTAAAATCAAGAAAAACTAAGCAAGATAGCTTGCCTTGATCGGCCGCGCTATAAATATTATCCGATATAGACAGGAGCGCAGTGGTGGTGCTATGTAATGGTCTGAAGCCAGATTGGGAGGTGGCCAGTAAATTCTTTTGACAAAGTGCAGCTGCTCATGTAGAGCCATTTCCTAAAACTATTCAATATTCAAAGTGTGTGATCTATCGAAATAAGACGTTGGGAAGCGACATCTACCGCTAGAATCGACCACTGCAAAGCAGTGAATCGCAGCCTGATGGGTGCGACTGTACCGACACAGCTTAAATAAAAATCAGCTATGAAACTCTCCTGTTAGTGTGAAAAACGGCCGCCATTTCGGCTGAGAAAGTCGAATGTAAATTCCCCCAGCACAACGATGAAAGAGGTTTTAGTGCTCGGCACCAATCGGTGTTGCCTCGTGTCATGCCAGCGGCCGCGGATATTATTTGCAATCTTAACCCGGGACTGGTCGATAGAAGCTTTTTTTTGCGTCGGTCGCGCGCGAGATTTTCTCTCACATTTGGTTGAGCACAAAATTATTAAAAAATATATTTGATTTGATACGATTTATTACAGAATACATGACATATAAATATAATAAGTATTTTATTCATTAACTACTAACATAAAACACAAAAAGGCTAATAAGTGAAAAGATGATTAACAAAAGTTCTCATAAACAAAGAAATAAACTAAATTATGCTTTACTTAAATAAAACCAGTCCGAATCACTAGGCTCATTTGGGCAGTTACAGCAAATATATTTACTTGTGTGTTTGGGGCAAATCGGCATCTGGCATTTATTGCACCTTTTTTCACTTTTCCATTTCTTCTACCAGGACAAAGGTAACAAAATCGAGTTGTGTCTTCTTCTAGTTTCGGAGCATTTTGTTCTGCTCTAATCCCTGCTATTTTCACAATAATTGTCGTACGGAGTGATAAATGGAGCCGCAGGATGTTGCCGATTTATAAAAGAATAACACTGATCAACAGCCAAAAAATATCCTAAATAAAATCAACAAAATATTACTATTTTTAATGTGCTAAAACCGGAATGAAACTTATTTTTTTCAATATTAGTTCAAGTTTTAGAGATACGGTAATTATATGTGTTCCTGCTGTGACAGTGTTAATATACTGTAATTCACAAGAATGCACGTGCTACATTTTTATATTCGGCAAGGAAAGATGATGTAATCGGCATGATTGTGTTACGCTATACATACGTGTACATTATATTGTTTTATATTAGCCATTTTTTCCTCAGTTGGCTGACAGCGTTCATGCAAGATGTCTCGAAAGTGTGTAAACAATCCAGATCAGTTTTGTTACGTGTGTGGTGATGTGACTTTTGCGTCTCAGAGACCGTCTATTACTCCACTAATAACAAAGGCATATCAGCTTTATTTCGGTTGTAAACTAGGTGATCAAGACAAACAGTGGGCGCCCCACATCTGCTGTAATACATGTGCTTCAAGTCTGAGGAGCTGGTCAAATGGCAAAAAACGGTCTATGCGCTTTGCTGTTCCAATGGCTTGGAGAGAGCCTACAAATCATATTAATGATTGTTACTTTTGCATGGTACCTTGTGTTAGACAAGCCACAGGTATGTCCAAGAAAAAAAAAATCGGTTATTAACTACCCAAACATACCATCTGCGATGAGACCTGTGCCTCACAGTGACGAAAATCCTATTCCAAAACCCCCAGAATCCTACACCTGCGAATCAGAAAACGAATCAGATCATGGCGATCGAGTGATTCGTCAGGATGAAGATATGCCATCAACGTCAAGAGATCCTGATTTTATAGTGGAACTTGTTAGACGGCGATGTTTCGGCATGTGTTTTTTGTAAACGCCACAAAGACTTAGAACCATTTGTCAATATGGAGAATAACTTGGTTTTCTGCAGTAACATTAACGGCTTACTGGCGGCTTTAAATATAAACTATAACCCAGAAGAATGGAGATTGTTTATAGACAGTTCAACATTGAGTTTCAAGGCAGTGTTATTGCATATTGGAAATATTTTACCATCTCTTCCTGTAGGGTATGCAGTTCACATAAAGAATCATATGACAATATGAAGTACCTATTGACATGCATAAAATACGATGAGCACCAATGGCATATTTGTGGCGATTTGAAAGTTGTTGCACTTTTACTTGGGCTGCAGCTAGGCTACACAAAGTTTTGCTGTTTTTTGTGTGAATGGGACAGTCGGGCAAAGGCACTTCATTACACCAGACAAAACTGGCCTGTTCGTCAATTCCTAGAGCCAGGTCAAAAAAATGTACAGCATATGCCATTAGTTGATTCGAAAAAAATTTTATTACTACCGTTGCATATCAAGTTGGGCCTAATGAAAAACTTTGTCAAGGCATTAGATAGAGATGGGTCAGCCTTTCAATACCTGCGTCAGAAATTTCCAAGACTAAGTGAGGCAAAGGTTAAAGAAGGTATTTTTGTTGGGCCACAGATTCAAAATATTTTGAAAGATACACAGTTTGAAAACACTTTAACAGGTATTGAAAAAACTGCTTGGAATGATTTCCGTCTGGTGGCCACTAATTTCTTGGGAAATAGAAAAGCTGACAACTATGAAACCCTTGTCAAAAATATGCTGTCATCGTATCAAAAGATGGGCTGTAATATGTCTCTTAAGATACATTTCCTACACTCACACCTGGACTTTTTTCCTGACAATTGCGGAGCCGTAAGTGATGAGCACGGCGAACGTTTTCATCAGGATATTTCAACAATGGAAAAAATGTACCAGGGAAAGTGGAATCCTTCCATGCTTGCAGACTACTGTTGGACTCTTGGTGGAGATGCTCCAGAAACGATCCATAAAAGAACAGCCAAAAGACAGCGTAT